TCCTCTCTCTCTCTCTCTCTCTCTCTCTCTCTCTCTCTCTCTCTCTCTCTCTCTCTCTCTCTCTCTCTCTCTCTCTCTCTCTCTCTCTCTCTCTCTCTCTCTCTCTCTCTCTCTCTCTCGCTCTCCCCCTCTCCCTCTTACTTCCAACCGCCAGCACACCGCCAGACGGGCCAGCCTCCTCCTCCGCGGCCAGGGGCCTGCGCAGCCACCCACGCCGTCTGCTGCGCAAGCACAGCCGAGTGGCGTGCGGGGTGTGCACGTCTAGATCTCGCACAGCCACGCGGCGGTAGACAATCAGCACGGCCACGTTCGCCAGGGCAAACGGCGAGAGGCAGGGTGTACTCGCTGATGATGCTAGCGACGAGGAGCCGAAGGTACCACGGTGTGAAAAGCTGCGGCCGAGAAGTGGGAGGCCGTCAGTGGTGGTGTGAGTGAGACGTGCTCCTTGCGCCGGCTCAACGCGCCTCTCTTCGTTGTCGACGCGGGAGCCTGGCTGGATGTCGGTGCAGTGCGCATGTCAGGTATGTGTTGTCAGCGCGCGGGTATGGCGTGGGTGCCGTGAGGGTGGGCATGCGCGTGCGACATCAATCGCCAGCAGCGTAGCTGCGGGGGAGCGGGCAGGATGCACCATGCACCACGAGCCACGAGGCAGCTGCGCTTTGACGCTACAGAATGGGAGAGTCCGACAATTGCCCAAGTTGCCGTTTTACTATTCCGCCGCCTTTGCGGAATAAGCAGTGCGGGAAAAAATGTGGGTAGGCGGAGGGCGTTTAGTGCGGAAAACAATGTGCGTGGGCGGAGGGCGTTACAATCCTGCTTCTTTCTTTCTTGGGCTTTAAAATACCCCCCCCGTCAGCAGAGTCCTCCTGCGTATCTGAAAGTAAGAGCACATAACACTGAAAAAAATGTCCATCTGTGGCGAGGGTATCGACTACCTTCCTTGCCCTCTACCTCTGGGATGGGAAGGAGTGAGCCTACCAGGTGGCCTTGAAACAACGGTTTCCGCACCGCCTCACGCATCTGCTGATGCGGCCCAACGTGCTAAAGCCGCTTTAGCACTGGGCGCACTGCATCCGGCGCGGGCACCCAACGCGCTTCATTGCTGCCCGGTACGACTGTACTGATCTGGCTTGCGCACCAGTGCTGGCAGGCTCACACCATAGTGCTCCCTTGCCTGCTGGTGTAGGCAACAATACCCTTGCTGGCAAGCTTCACCTCGCGAGCTGCCTCGATGGGGTGCCGAGGCATAAAGATTAGAGTCTCGTCTACACTGCGGCACAGACACCTGATGAGGACAGCATGATACCACATGAATCTGCCCAGTTGCAGCAAATTCTACTGAACAGTTGAGGGCTGGCGAGAGAGACCGTTAAGGAGCGCGAAACGCGCGAGGAAGCCGCGGGCTGCGGGCTCATATAAGAATTTTACTATACAAGCCCCTCTCACAGCAGACTGGCTCGGACTGGCACATATAAGAAGAAAAAGTTCTGGAACACGAGACTCCTTGTTATCCATAAAAGAGCCACATACACTGATATGTCAACCGGCGCAGATGCGACGAGAGCGGGCGCCGTGTTTCATTGCCTGATTCTAACGAGACACAGAGCAGCGGCACGGGCGTTGCCGATCGAACACGGATTGCTGAGGGTCATGCACAATTCGTGCGGTTATGGGCTGCCACCGCAAAACATGCAAACGACAGGCCACGCCACGTGCGCCACCATATCCAGCTGCGCAGCGGCAACGACTGCCGAGGCGCAGGCCGAGCCGCAGCCTACCGCGATGCCCCGCCGACATGCGGCATTGGCCAAAATGCTGGGCATCTCAGGTTAAGGGAGGCAACTTGAAATAGCAAGGAGCATCCTAGAATGCAAAGGGGTAACTCCAGATGCTAGCGCATTCACGAATGCAGTTCGCATTCCAGGATGGTCGACGCATCCTGGAATGCGTGGACCATCTTTGGAATGCGGTGTGCATCTTGAAATGCGAAAAGTCAACTCGGCGTTCTGAGTTGAAAAATGCAATCTGAGTTGATTTTTTGCAACTCAAAAAAAAATTGCTTTAGAAGAAAAACGAGTGCAAAAATGCCCTCAGCATCTCAAATTGCGGGTTCCCCGCCCCTGACGCGCACCGCGCGCCCGCCCGACTTTTTTACGGTATCTCAAAACCTCGGGAGGAACGTTGATGGCGCCAGCGCCTGCTGTTGACGAAGCTACCCCCAGCAGGCGTTTTGACGGATGTCAAAATTCTTCCCTACAAAGAGGCCAACGCGCAACGGAACCCCGAGAACCTCGTCTCCTCGGCACCAGTCCAGAGCGGCTCTCCTCGGCACCAGTCCAGAGCGCTCCGTCAGCACGCCACATGGCTTGGCATCCTGGGGCGGGTCCCGGGTCCCTACGCCCTCACAAGCAGCGGCCTGTACCTTCTATACGCCCACAGGGTGGGCCTCGCCGGGCATGGACCCCACGGGGAGCGCACCAGTCCAGAGCCATGGTTCATAGTGGCGAGGCGCGCGCGGGGCCGTCTGTGGCGAAGTGGGTCGCGGATCGATGTTACGTCCCCAAATGGGACGTGTGAGCCATGGCTCGAGAGGTCTGATCATTGAGAGGTCTGCCCCTCGCTGGGTGTCACTCTAGGCCCTTCGCTTGCCTCGCCTTGTCCAGCAACGCGTCCCTCCCCTCGTCACCGAGAGCGGCAGCCATGCTGCTGAGCACCGATGCTGGGTCGTTGAGCAGCGTTGCGGGCGACCCCTGCTCGAGCAGGCGACCGCCACCAAGCACGAGGAGGGTGTCGTAGTCGGCGACTGTCAGGAGGCGGTGCGCGATGGTGATCACCGTCTTTGCCGCGTACTCCTCGCGGAGCAGCTCCTGCATCGCCGCGTCAGAGTTCTCGTCGAGGTTGCTCGTGGCCTCGTCGAGCACGAGGATCGGCGTCTCCTCGAGCATCGCGCGCGCAAAGCAGAGGAGCTGCCGCTCGCCCGAGGAGAGGTTCGAGCCATTCTTGGCGACGTGCGTGCCGAGGAGGTCCGCGGGGAGCCGCGCGCGCACCAACGCCGACGCCAGCTCCTCGTCACTCTTTGTTCCAAAGGGGCAGAGGTTGTGCGCGACGGTGCCCTGGTGTAGCACCGGATCCTGCGAGGCGGCGACGAGCTTTGGCGCCAAAGCTCGCGGGGCCGCGCACGCGGGGGGGGGGGGGGGGGCAATCAGCGCCTGAGGAATGATGGACATTGTGCGGCGGAGCGCACGCAAACCGAGCGAAACCGTCTCGCGCCCGTCGATGATGATGCTGCCCGCAGCCGGCTCGAGCAGTCGGAAAAGAGCGAGGACAAGCGTGCTCTTGCCAGCGCCTAAATAGCGCCAAACGATGCGACTCACCATCGGTGCGGTACTAGCGATCAGGCCCGGTACAAGCGTGCCCGTTCGGCCGACCACCCCGGCCATCTGCCGGGGTGCGATGGTGGCCGAGAAGTCAGCCAGCGCAAGCGGCAGCCCGGGCCGGTACCGCAGGCAGAGGCTCTGAAAGACCACCTCGCCCGCTTTTGGAAAGTCGGCCTGCGGCGGGTCGGACGGCAATTCGTGCGGCGGCTCCTGTGGCAGCTCCAAGTACTCCAGAAGCCGCTCGAGCGCCGCCATGGACGTGCGCAGCTGAACGAACCTATGATCAGCCGAGGGAGGTGTAAAGAGACGCACCGTGGCAGGCCCACGCGCGGGTGTCGGCGAGGCACATATCGGAGATGAGGTTGATGAAGTAGGGGAGGACAACTGCGTACGTGAGCGCGAGGCCGCCCTCCGCTACCCCAAACGAGGCGCGATTCCCGATGATGATGAAGAAGGTGGCGACGCCAAAGATAAAGACGAGGGTGCCACCCACGTGCGCGTACCAGGACTGCATCGCCCGTGAGAGGTAGGAGAATCGAGCCCACGCGCCAATCGCTGCAGACTGGCGGGCGGCGAAGAAGGAGCCGAGGCGCATCGCCCGCACGAGGGGCGTCCCGACCTTGATTTCGGCGATGTTGGACATGATTGGCGAGACGGCGTTGTTTGCGAGGCGGCGCAGCTCGCGTATCGAGCGGTCTGCGACTAGAGTGGCGAAGCAAAAGACGGCAAAGACGCCGGCGGCGACGACAGCGAGGACCCAAGTTGTGGATGCGATCAGCCCGAAAATCGTGGCCGCCTGGAAGCCCATATGCATCAGGTTGTCCACGTCTGTGCTCAGAGTGATGTCGACCGTGTTCAGGTCCGAGGTGAAGCGCGAGAGGACGCGTCCAGAGGGCGTGCTGTCGTACCAGCCGAGCGGCGCGTAGATGACGCGGCGGAGCGTGCTGCGGTGCATCGCCGCCGAGGCGCGCACCGAAATGACGGTAAAGAAGATGGACGAGCCGATGATCAGCGCGATGAAGCCGAGGCACAAGCCTGAGTAGACGCCCGCCCGGCTCGCTGTCGGTAACCCGACAGCCGGCCCCGCGTCGCCGATCCACCACCGCACGAGCCACAAGTCGGCGAGCAGAAAGGTGCCGTAGGTGAGCACGAGCAGCGCAAAGTAGGACCAGACGGACGCGGTCCCGAGCGCGCGGATATAGGTGGTGTATATGCCAGAGGAGAAAGCACCAGTCTGCCGACTCTCCGCCGTGGTGAGCCGCGAGACGCCGCCCGGCGGCGCCGCAGAAGCCTTCGCGCCGGCCGCCGACGCGCCCTCGGCCGCCTTGGCAAGAGCTGCCGCCGCCTCGGCCGGCGAGCGGCTCGCCTCGGGAAGGTCGTCCAGCGATGCGGCGGCTGCTGCGCCGAGGAGCCGATCCGTGAGCTCCGACCCCGAGGCGAGTAGCGCCTCGCGCGGGCCGTGCGCAGTCACGGCGCCGCCCTCGATGAGCAGGAGCGAGTCGAAGGCGTGCAGGTGGCCGCCTTGCGATGCCGACACGAGCGCGGCGCGCGCGACCGGCCCGGCCTCGGGCTCCGCCAGCCAGCCGCGCTTGACGTAGCGGACGATGGCGTCGAGGAGCACGCACGCCGTGCGCGCGTCGACGGCGGAGAGCGGGTCGTCGAGGAGGAGTACGGAGGGGCGGCCGTAGAGGGCGCGCGCCATGGCGATCCGCTGCGAAAGGGGAGGCTAGGAGGGTGAGTGGCTGGTGGCGGGAGAGAACGGGGGGGGGGGGGGTGGGGGGGTAACCTGCTGCTGCCCGCCCGAGAGAGTCACGCCTCGCTCGCCCACCTCGGTGTGCTCACGCAGCGGCAGCGCCGCCAGGTCGTCGAGCAGGGCGCACCCCTCGAGGATCTCCGCAAGGAGGTCCGGCTCGAGCCGCCTCCCGAGCAGGATGTTGTCGAGGATCGTGCCGGCGATGGTGAAGGGGCGTTGCGGCACGATGGCGGCCTGCGCGACGGCGTGCTTGCCGCTGCGCACGAACGCCTCCCCCCACAGGGCCGCCAGCAGCGACGTCTTGCCCGCAGAGACGGGCCCGACCAGCGCGACCAGCTCACCCGCGCTCACCGAGAGCGACACGCCGCTCACGGCGTCGACCGGCTCGGGAAAGCTGAGCATGTTGATCTGCGCCGTCGCCGAGCGCGGGCCCACTCCGTCGAAGCGCGAGCGCGGCGGCGGCGGCGGCGGCGGCGGCGGCGGCGGCGGCGGCGGCGGCGGCGGCGCGCGGCGGCTCAGGCGGCTCAGGCGGCTCAGGCGGGTGGGCTGCTGTGCGGCGGCTGGCGCCTCGCTGCGCGCAGGCCAGCTGACCGTCGCGCCGTCGAGCGTGAGGAGCGCGCCGCCCTCGCCAGCCGCGGCGGGCGGTGCGGGCTGCTCGGGAAGCTGCAGGTAGGCGGAGATGCGCGAGGCGGCCACTTGGACCCCGATCAGGATCTGGATGTTTAGCGGGAGAAAGATTAAGGCGACGCGCAACGCCTAGAGGAGCGACGCGAGGCGTGGGCGAGGTGTGGCCGAGGTGTGGCCGAGGGCGTGGGCGAGGGAAGGGGCCAGCCCAACCTGGAAGAGGGCGATGATTGGAAGCACGACATCGGCGCGGAAGCGGTCGGGCGAGGCGAGGGCGAGGACGAGAACGGTGCAGAGAATGGAGATGATAGGCGAGGCGCGGCCGATCTGCACGAAGACGATCAGGGCGATCCGAAACGAGCGGAGGTGCGTCAGCTCGGTCGCACGGCGGCGGCAGATGTGGGCGAGGAACGCCTCCTCCCAGCCCATGAGCTTGACCACCTTTGCGCCGTCGAGCAGCTCCCTCGTCGCGCCCGCCGTCTCCTCCGACGCCTTGAGCATCGCCATCTGAGGGGAAGGGCGGGGTCGGCGGCGGGTGGCCGCGGCGGCGTGCGCCGCACCTCCGCGCCTGCGAGCGCTTCGCGCGGCGGCCGAGCGGTATCGAGACGAATATGGTGCCCGCCATGACGAGGACGCCGAGCCCGCCGGCGAGGCCCGAGAGGACGAAGAGGACGGTGAGGCCGCCGACGAGGGAGGAGAGGCAGAGCCACGTGACCGGCAGGAAGCGGGCCATGTCGGCGGCCCCAACGAGGTCCTTGCCTAAGGCGCACGTCCGCAACGTGTCGCGGCCGTGTACTGGCCAGGCCGGCGGCAGCGAGGTCCTCGCCGAGCAGCGTCTGCTCGGCGCCGTCCGAGCCGACGCCGGTGCGGAGCCGGCCCGCCTTGAGGGTCACCAGCTGCATCGCGGCCGACGACGCGCGCAGGATCGCCTCGTCGCCCGCAATGTGCAGGCCCTGCGTCTTGCTCCACTGCTCGAGCAGCAGGCAGGCACCGAGGCCACTGGCAAAAGCGAAGCTGCGCCAGAGCGGCTCGTCGGGCGAGATGGACTCGACGGTGCTCTTGAGGAGCAGCGGCCGCGCCACCGAGTTGCAGAGGCCGGAGACGACCATCAGCGCACCGCCCTGGTAAAAGCTGCGGCGCGCGAGTGGGTACAGCACGCCCGAGAGGACCCGCGCCTTGCCCGGCTCAGCGCGCGCCAGCTCCGCCTCCCACAGCTCGACTGCGACGCGGTGCAGCGGATCCGACCGCACTCCGCGGGGCGCGGAGGGCAGGTCCTCCTCCTGCAGCGGCTTGGACCAGCCTCTGTACGCGATGGCCGCGCACCAGCCGAGCCAGAGGCGGGAGAGGAGGCAGGCGTCGTCGGGCGAGCGGTCGCCGGCGGAGGTCATCTTCTGGGTATCCGCGAAAGTATTGGGCCAGTCTCGAGACCACCTGTAGCGAGCACCAAAGGGGGCACGATGACCACGCCTCACAAAGGGCAGGCGCTTGCTTTGGATGTGCAAACAGCTATGCGGTGTGACAGGGTCTGAGATGAGAGGGGGGAGGCAGGGCGATGGGTCGGCCGCAGCGACCACGCAGCGGGAATGCGGCGGCGGCGGCGGGGAGCAGCGGCGGCGGCGAGGGCGGAGGCGACGGTGGTGGCGGTGGCGACGGCGGCGACGGCAAGGCGGACAGCGGCGGCGGCGCGGGAGATGCGGACGGTGACGGCGCGGCGACAGCCAGAGCGGACGCAGGCGGTGGCAGCGGCGGTGGCGGCGGCGAGGGTGGCGGCGGCGAGCGACGGCGAGGTTGGCAGCGGCGGCGGCGGCGGCGGCGGCGGCGAGGCTGGCGGCGGCGGCAGCAGCGGCGAGGGCGGTGGCGGCGGCAGTGGCGGCGAGGGAGGGGGCGATGGCGGCGGCGGCGGAGGGGGCGAGGGTGGGGGCGGCGAGGACGACGGCGAGGGCGGCGGTGGCGACGACGGCGGCGAGAGCGGCGGCGGCGGCGAGGGCAAGGGCGACGGCGAGGGCGACGGCGGCGGCGGCGAGGGCGGCGGCGGCGGCGGCGGCGGCGGCGAGGGCGGTGGCGGCGACGGCGACGGCGACGGCGGGGATGCGGTGGCGGAGGCCGCTGTACTCGACAACTCGAGGCCGCCCCACCCATGGGCGGTCGACGAAATGTTCACGGCCTCGTAGCCGGTGACGCCGCAGTGGCCCGAGCAGCCGGGGTGCACCATGGGGTTGCTCGTTTGCCTCCAGTGCTGCACCTTGCCGTCGTCCCACTTGATCTTGAACTCGAACTTGCCGTCGGCACCCGTGAACTGGCCGCCGTTGTCGCGCAGCACGTTGAGCTGCGAGTACGCGCCCGTCTCGTCGAGACCCGCGGAACACTGCGCGACCGTCTTGCACACGCCCGCAGTCTGCTTGAGCAGCGGGTAGCAGGGCGGCGACGGCGAGGTGGGCGGCGGCGGCGGCGAGGGCGACACGGACGGCGGCGGCGGCGACGGCGATGCTGAGGGCGGCGGGGGGACGGCGATGCTGAGGGCGGCGGGGGGACGGCGATGCCGAGCTGGAGGCGGCGGCGACGGCGAGGCGGACGGCAGCGGGGGCGACGGTGAGGCGGACGGCGGTGACGGAGATGGCGAGGCGGACGGCGGCGGCGGGGACGGCGAGGCGGAGGGAGGTGGCGGAGATGGCGAGGTCAAGGGAGGCGGCGGCGAGGGCGACGCGGACGGCGGCGGCGGCGAGGGCGAGGCCGACGGCGGTGGCGGAGATGGCGAGGCGGACGGCGGCGGCGGGGATGGCGAGGCGGACGGAGGCGGCGGCGACGGCGACGCGCACGGAGGCGGCGGCGGCGGCGGCGGCGACGCGGACGGCGGCGGCGGAGATGGCGAGGCCGACGGCGGTGGCGGAGATGGCGATGCGGACGGCGACGGCGATGCTGAGGGCGGCAGCGGCGACGGCGACGCGGACGGAGGCGGCGGCGACGGCGACGCGGACGGGGATTTGGCATCGCTCCGGGGTGTATACTGGGGGGCGTGATTCTGGGCGGCGATGGGCTTGTGTCGATTGGCGGTCTGCGTCTGTTGGGGACTAGCTTGGGATGGCTGGCTGGCGGGCCTCGAGTTGACGGACGGCGAACGGAGAGGTCAGCACCTACGGGATCACGACCATGTGAAAGAGGGTCAAAAACTGCTCTGGAGATGTCTGGGGGTATATGGGGTACATGGGGGTACATGGGGGTACATGGGGGCACATGGGGATGAGAATATCTCGAGGAATCTCCAATGGCCAAATGGGATCAATCGTCGCAATCTCCACCCCGCCGGCCACCCACCCACCCAACCCCGCAGCCCCCCACCACGCCCTCCCCCTCGAGCCTCGCCTAAAACAGATAAAAAGAAATCGATCGAATGGACGCGTGGCGTGGGCTGCGTCAAAAAGAACAAAGAGGGGCGAGGCCACAAAGAGAGGGTTGAGCCAGGTCACTGCCACACCTACGGGCAGCACGCCGCGGCGTTACCGCTGCGACGAGGCCGCCGGCACACTCTCTCGTGTCCTCGGCGCTCGGACTGGAGCCGGGCAGCGATTGGCAAGCGAGTGTGTCTCGCTCTCTCGCCGGAAGAGAGTGGGGGCAATCGGGCGGGTTCGCTCGGTGTAAGGGTGGACAACGAGCGGCAGCGGCCGCATCTCGCGGCTCCTCGATGGCAGCAGCCTCACCTGCGATCGGGAGGTGGCAGGCATTGTGAGGCCGAGAGGGGGCCAAGCCGCTCGGGCGCCAAAGCGAAGCGCATCGCATGGTGGGAGCGGAGAGGGAGCGGCGGGTTGCGTGAGCAAGAGGCGTCGCGCCGCTCGGGCGTGCAGCTCGCCGCGGCCATATGTGCGTCGATGCGGCGGGGCCAGCGCGAGTGGAACGGGAAAGGCGAGGGTTGGACCTTGTGAGTTGGTTCTTGTGAGCCCCCACGTCGAGGGGTACATGGATGAAGGGGAACGTGGGGATCTGTCAGGATCGAGTAGTTCCGGGAGGTTTCTCATATGAAGGGGAACGTGGGGTACATCTCATGTTGCTATGAAGGTTGTATAAAGGGGAACGTGGGGAACTATTTTCAATCAAAAACAGCGTCTTCAGCACAACTATTTCGAGGTCTCGCGGATAGGGTGCCCACAGGACCCAAAAGAAACGAGCTTTCCGCCTCAAAAAGGGACGCACGAGGCAAATCTGATGTTGGAGTGTTCCAATAGGAGCGAGGCCTCTTCCGTTGGGGGACCGAGTTCAGAGGAAACGATATGCCGCTATTCTTTCTCCTTCGCGGCAACGCGATGGCGGCAAGGCCTCTTTGCGCGCCCGCCCTCGTCACGCCGAAGACCAACCGGCGTCGGACCGCGGTGAGACCACGCCGCCCCCCGCGCCCGCCCGCGCCCGCAGCGTGAACACATACGCGCGTCCCTCATCGCACGGAAACATACGCGCCAGCCGCGCAGCAGCCTCACATGCAGCGCCGACCGCATGCTCGCGCCCTGGGCCGCCGACGACCCGGTCGGGCGGGCTGCGCGGCCGCCGCACACCACCAGGCAGGCGCACAACCACCCGCAGCAGAGCGCAGCCCACCGCGCAGCCCTGCCAGCCAGGCCTGCACCTCAAAGACTCACAAACAGGCGCACAGCAGAGTGCAGCACACAGCACACACCGGCGGCGCGCGCGCAGCACACGCAGACGCACGCGCGGATCCAACACGCACACGCGCACAGCACGCGCGCGCCGCACGCCAGCGCAGCGCCACACACAGAGCACACTTCCCATCAGCAGCAGCAGGCCTGCCACAATCCACATCTCACACATGCGCGCGCACACTCCCCCCTACCGGCGCACGCATTGGGCGTCGCCGAGAGCTCCCAAAGCTGACTTGTGTGGCTGCTTGTGCTGCCTGCTCATGAGCAGGCAGCACAAGCAGCCACACAACCCAAAAGCTCACTTGTATGGCTGCTTTTGTGCTGCCTGCTTGGCAGCACAAGCAGCCACACAACATCCCGCTTCATCTCGCCTCCTAGTCTCGCCTCAGCTCGCCTCATCTCGCCTCACCTCGCTTCATCTCGCCTCATCTCGCCTCATCTCGCCTCACCTCGCTTCATCTCGCCTCACCTCGCCTCATCTCGCCTCACCTCGCCTCATATCGCCTCACCTCGACTCAAGCTCAACCCTCATCTCGCCTCACACCTCGCCTCATCTCGCCTCACCTCGCCTCGTCTCACCTTTTCTTTTTGAAAAGGTTCACCTCCGCATGGAGGACCGCCCTTCGGGCACCATCACGCCCTCCGGGCATACTCCGAACTCCCACACGCCAATACACGCGCGGCCGGCGCCTCTCATGCCCTTCTCCAGGCACACCGCGTGAAAACTGCGCGTACGTCCCCGCGCGCACGCAAACACGCGCAGCGCCTTTCAGAGCTGTGCCCATGTGCGTCTGCCCTGTGCTGGCGCCCCATGGCCGTCCCGCGCCGCCCGCACCAGCTGCGCGCCCCTCGCACCACCAGAGGCAGCCGCATATCCACTCACGCCGCGACGCGCGCCGCAGCACACCTCACCAGCACACCTGCGCCTTTTTGCGCCCTGTGCAGGCTCTGCAGACTGCTTCTGGCATCTCATAAGCGGCTGTACCAGGACGCGCCGCGAGTGAGACGCAGATCCGGCACCGCGCAGGCGCGCACGCACGCCCGCACGCGCGCGCGCGCGCGCGCGCGCTTCCGCTCTCTGCTGCACAGACTGCCAGCCTGCACACACAGCATACAGCACCATGTGCACGCATACGCCTGACGATGCAGCCCGCACTCCACAACAAAAGCCTGCCTCACGCCTCACCACGCCACCCCGCGCTCACACCGCCAGCAGCCCGATCAGAGAAACTGCAGCGCGCGCCTCTGCACGCCTGCAGTCTCTCTGCACTCTGAGCCTTCTCAATCCACCCCGCCGCCGCGCCTCCCCGGGCACACCGCAGCGAAGATGTGAGTCGAAGTATTGGATATCGGCCGAGCCTGCGCCTGCCGCACACAGTTCTTTTTACTGCCAAAGCATAAAAAGAAAAACACGAGCGCGACTTGCACTTTGGTCTTTGCACTTTGCACTTTGCACTTTGCACTAAGGTCTAAGCGCAAATTTCACGTATGTGCAAAGTGCAAAGAAAAAACACCGGAACCCACTTCCCCCCTCCCCCCCCGAGCCTTGACAAGCAGCGACGACCAGCAGCAACGACCTAGAGCAGCGTCCTGCCGAGTGTGTGTAGCACCGACGCAGACGCACCCCAGGCACTACACTACGACGGCTAGGCAGACCTCACCAGTCCGATAAGGATCAACTGGAAGGTTGAACCTCGAGCTTAGACAGAACGGGCGCGACAGACTCCAGGGGAGATCGCGCTCTACTCGGGGCACCAAGGAGGAAAACCGAAACCGTTTGGGTGCCCCACAACAACCCAAACGCCACAACCTAAGCGCCACACCTCCCCCCCACGTCCCCCCCCCCTTGGGGACGTAGCGCACGCCCTTGCTCGGAGAGAGTGGGGGGGGAGGGGGGGTGGGGGAATAGGAGGAGCCAACGAGCTCGGAGTAAGGTCCACAGTAGAGAGGCCGGCATTTAAGGCGTAACTTCACCCTCGCTCACCTCGAGTATATCTAGGCGCCCTGGTGCAGTCGGTCTTCGGATCAGCGGCCAGCTTCCCATCTAGGGCAGGGAACCCCCAGCGACGCTAGTGTGGCCTACGGTAGCCATAGCTTGTACGCGATCCCGGGGCAGGGGGGTGTGGACTCTGGAGCTCCAAGAGAGGATAGAGAGAGGAAGGGAGATTGGTGTGCCGGTTTTTTGAGCTAGCAATTTTTTTTTTCGCCTCATCTCGCCTCATCTCGCCTCATCTCGCCTCATCTCGCCTCATCTCGCCCCCCACCTCGCCTCACCTCGCCTCATCTCGCCTCATCTCGCCCCATTTTTTCTTTTCTAGACCACTCCGAGACCGACCCGCCCAAGACCGACCCGAGACCCGAGATCGACCCGAGATCGACCCGAGATCGACCCGAGATCGACCCGAGATCGACCCGAGATCGACCCGAGATCGACCCGAGATCGACCCGAGATCGGCACGAGCGATCAACCCAAACAATGCCCCAAAGCCCCCTCTCTGGGGGACCCCCCCTCACCCCGAGTGTCCGTGTCCTTCGCGAGTCACCGATGGGGAGCGGGGGGGGGTGCGAGATGCACAGGGGAGGCTGGGGAGGGGGGGGTCCACTCTGAAGACTGCCGACCGCGGGGGGGTTTTGTCCCACAGGGTTTTACCCTCCGCGTGAGGATCGGCGCGGCGAGGGGGTAGGCTCGAATTCGCCGCGCAACATTTCACCCCCACATCAACGCCCTCCTTCGTCTTGAGCACTTGAGCACTTGATAGGGTCGATTCCGCATGGTACGGGACCCCTCGATCGTCTCGCCCACCCTCACTGGTGTGTTCATGGGGGGGGTCATAACAAACACGGTACAGGATCGAGGTGCACGCTGCAGATGCAGTGTCGTCCCCCCTCTCCCCGACGGCGATGGCGGTGTGACCGATCGAGCTACAAGAGGAGCTTGTTCAGCAGGATCTGGGATAGTCTGGAAAGAACACAGACAACCCCTTGGACGGATGGGGACGGCACGCCGCCACCACAATCGACGGCCCGGGGTTTCTTTTTTGCCGCGGAAAAATCATCTCTTTCCCGCCTGGGCGGGGCAGTGGGCGGGCGCGCGGTGCGGCGTGGCGTGTGCGTGTGTGCGACTGCAACGAAGGACCGCTCGGGACCATTGGGTTTGTACTATTAACAACGAAGGCGCTCTGAAAAAAAAAGTGGCGCAGGGCGAGGCGGCGAGAACCGAGCGAGCACGTCCTCGTGAGCCCCGTGGCTCCAACCAGGCCCTTCCTTTTTTGAGCAGGTGTGACGCCGCGCGAGCGACGCTCCGAGATCGCCCGAGATAGCGCGGCGCGGCGGTGGGTGAGGTGGGGTGGGGTGGAGTGGCGTGGCGTGGA